TGGCATCCGTTTCAGTGGCGAAAGGTCCATGCTGGACGGACCTTCTTCAAATTTCATCCCAGTTCTTAATAGTGGTGTTTACTATGGATGCTGAAAGTCTCAAGCATGATGGCAGTTCAATATGTGCAGCAACTTATGCTAAAATATTTATTTTATCACTTACCGTAAATTACGAGGTGGTATTGGAAAGTTCCCACATTGTTGTAACTACATCGGTGAAAGAAGATGAAAGAGGAGGCCAAGGTCGCACTTCCAGAAGCATATTGCATCAGTCTACCACATGACACCATGCATTGTTTTTACACTAGTACTTTTAGGACTTCATGTTTTGTTTTATCTGCAATAGGTTGCAAAATTGAGCAATGTGTCTGCATCAGGTTTTGTGTGAAGCTTTGTAAATCTGCTACTGAAACCCGTGAAATGCTTCATGAGGCTTTTGGAAGACATTCTTTATGTTGGACACCTGTTTTTGAATGGCATTCACATTTCAGGGTGTCAGTCAAAGATGACAAATGTTCAGGGTGACCAAGCACCAGCAAAATGACAGAAAATGTTGAACATTTCGAGAACTCATAAATGAAGACTGTTGCTGAACAATCCATGAGCTGTCAGACACCATAGGGATCAGTTATGGAGTTTGCCAGGAGATCTTAACAGAAAGTTTAAACATGCGCCACACTGCTCTATCACAACAATGCGCCTGCCCACGCATTCCTGAAAACCACAGTCAGTGACTAACAACAACATGGTTATTGTTCCCTATCCTCCCTACTTGCTGGACTTAGCCCCCTATGATTTCGCTTTGTTTCCCAAATTGAAAATGAAACTGAAGAGATGATGTTTTGAAACTGTCTGACATCCAAAGGGAATCATAAGCGCTGCTCGACAGCATTAAGGAAAATGACTTCCATGGTGCTTTTAATGCATGGGAAAAATGATGGGATCGCTGTATATGTTCCCTGATTTGAAGGAGGTTGCAACCAGAATTGAGTAACATAAGCCAGAATTTCTTCTTTGACCTAGTCAGGAAACTTCTGATAAACCTCGTATTTCCATTTTCCTTTGTTATCTATATTTCATCCTCTTGCTATGATGTTCATCATAATCGACAACAAAATTTGGTCTCTTTGAAGTGAAGTCACATGGACACTGGGAGATTGAAGAATTTAACCTGGGTGCATATCTGTTCATTGTTTTGCTTACAAAAACACATTTGCCATGTTGCAGTGGTCATTTTTGGAACACTTATCATACATACTTTGGGGGAGAAAATGCTGCCATTGAATTACCGTCCTAATAAGACACAGCAAGACCAGAGCTGGCCTGATGCATGAGCTGCTTGGACTACAGCAGCAGAAATATCACTTCATGCATGATAGGCCTTAGGGGAAGTCATGTGGTGTGTGTGAATCACTTGCAGTTGTGGACCAGCCAGTTTGTAGTATATATTTTTAGACTGAACCATTTGCGACTGCTAGCAGGGGAGGAGGTCTGTTGGCTTGCATAAGAAATTCTGAGAACTGAACTACAAAATGTACGATCAAGTATGTTTTCGTAGTTAGGACTAGAAATATGAAGTTCTTGTTTGGGGAAAACATGAAATTCAGGAAATATGAAATCCATTTAACATTATTGTTATGGGCATTTTGCTGGGACCTTGCAAAAAGCATATAAATTTGAAAAAAAAAGAAAAATATGGGATGTAAAATCGAAGTTTCACTGTATGCACTAGGAATGGGATGTTGTGGTTACTTGAATATGCTGGTTGCACAAGAAGAACTGGCAGAAACATAACTTTACATGATTGTGACCCTTTTCCGGGCATTTATCTATTTCTATTCCATTTCAAAGTCAGAACAAATAATTTTTGCTCTATTTCTTGTAAGGATCTTCTTAGGTGACAGCAGATTGGTGGGTGAAAAGTTTTGAATTACTGTAACTTGGTCACGAATTGAGCTGTTCTGGAATGTAATGGCACTTGTATGCCTCAGGATCGCGAGCACTGCTGCTAGTGGTGGCTGTGGAAAAGTACTGAATGGCGAGTGAAAATACACGCATTGCAACTGTGTTTCTGATGATACCTTATAAAAGTGATTAATTTTCTTTGAAATTTTTGCTGATTGCTTGAGAATTCCAGAAGATTAGATATCAAATAACTGGGAGTGCTGTAGTACTTCTCTGAGTGTGATTTTACACTTTAGATTGAGATTAGAAAAATTATGACTGCATAATATTGAGATAAAGATGAGTTGTGTGAAAAACAGAAGTTCTTTTTATATCTTTTGATGTAGTTTACAGCCATTAGTTTGAACTGAGCTGGTATCTTCTCCCAGTATAATGCTGTTTTATATGGGTTGATGAATGAAAATGTTCCAGTCTCTTCTGTACACAGTCTTTTGTTTGCTTTCTTGTCAGCTTTCTCACTCTTTATAATGCCATCTAATACCAGGACAAACAAACTTGTTTTGAGTTGTCCTACAGGTTTCTTTCCATCAGGTACTAATTCTAGTGACATTTTAAGTATTCTATTCATTCTTCTCACATGGTCATATTATTGTAATCATTTCTTCTCACAAATTTTGAATTACAGGTTCTCAAAAAATTTAATTTCAGATTCTATCCCTGCTTGTTTTTCTATTACTTCTCAAAGATTTTATATCACTTGAATTTTGTTTTTCTTTGTAAAGGTCCTTGTTTCAACATTATATGTTAGCGTTGCTTTGTAATAAAATCCAGCTACAGGTTGTATTGTGATTTGTCTGTTCCAAAATATTCCTTTTTATAATTTGATACATTTAGAACAGTGTATTTTTCCATTGAATCTGTTTGTAGATACCCCATTTGAATTTATTTTACTTCCCAATTATATTTGTCCACCTTTTAAACCATTGTGTCATTACATTTTATTCTGATATCTATGTCTGGATTCTTTGAAAACCTAACAGTTACTGTCCTATTCTTATTTTTTTTAAGCTGTCTCCTTTTATACTAAGCTTTATCTGATTTATTTCCTCTTTGTTTTCCTTTTGTTCATTCCCCCAGCTCAGCGCATCACCTGCAAATATTGTTTTCATTTCTGCGTCATTTATTTTGTCCTCCAACTTTACTCAGTTTCCGTCAGCATTAAACATGACTGATGAGAGGACACTTCTTTGACTCACTCCACTACTTGTTTTGAACTATGCTGACCTTCGTGATTTTTTATGCAAATTTACAGTCATATACTATCTTAACTTTTTCCGTAAACTCTGTGATACTTTTGATTCTTCTTAAACTTGACCAGATCTTTTCTCTCTCTTTATTGTTGTGAGTTGTTTTTGAGACTGTATAAGTACAATTGCCATGGCCTGCCAAATTCTTGATGTTCCTCAATTGTCCTCAACTGAACGCAACAAGGAAAAAGAGTGGATGAGATCATACAAGATGACAGGCGTGTGACTGTGGACACAATAGCCCGAAAACTTGGAATAGGGCACAGTGCAGTACAGAAGATGATTGAAAGCTTGGGCTATAAGAAAGTTTGTGCTCATTGGGTCCTGAGGTTATTGACCGAAGACCACAAAGGTCAGTGAAAAGCCATCACCTCAGAACTGCTGCGGAGATATCAACACAAAGGTGATGATTTTTTGCTCTGTATTGTGACAGGTGATGAAAGCTGGTTTCACCATTTTGAGCCTGAAACGAAACGGCAGAGTATGGAATTGTACCATTTGCATTCTCCATCAAAAAAGAAGGCAAAGACAGTGCCATCAGCTGCGAAAGTGATGGGCACTGTCTTCTGGGATGCAGAGGGGTTTATTCTGGCCGAATTCCTGGAACCTGGGCAAACCATCAATGCTGCTCATTATGTCCAGATGCTGCACAAGCTCCATCGTGCATTGCGCGATAAACGTCCAGGGCGAAACATCATCATCCTGAATGACAGCACTCGTCCCCATGCCGCTCACCTCATATTGGAAGCAATTGCAAAGATGGGGTGGGAAGTTCTTCCACACCCCTCCTATGGTCCTGATCTGGCACCCTCCGACTACCATCTTTTCGGATTTGTGAAGGATCAGCTGCATGGACAACGTTTTGAGACAAGGGAGACAATTCAGAAAGCAGTACGTCAGTGTCTTCGGATGGCTGGAACGGAATTTTACAGAAGGGGAATTTTCAAACTCCCAGAACGCTGGGAGAAATGTGTAGAAAGAAGTGGCGATTATGTGGAAAAATAAAGAAAGGTCTGTAGATTGAGGAGGTGTATTTGGTTTGTTAATAATAAAGCATGTTACTTTACAAAAAATTGTTGCTCATGACTTTCAGTACGACCCTCGTACTTTCAAATTTTAGTTAAGCAGATATGAATAAACATAAATGTGTAATTTATGCCTTCATGCACTGCCATATTTGACCTTCATAGGACAATTGAGGAAAATCGGGAATTTGGCAGGCCATGGCAGTCGTACTTATACAGTCTCAAAAACAACTCACAACAATAAATAAAGGAACACACCTACTCAGTTGGGCCCCTTAGAAGGAGTTTATCTCAATCCAGTGATTGAGATTAGCTCTTTCTAAGGGGCCCACCTTTCTCACCTGAAGACGGAAACAGATCCAGTTTCTGGAGCATCATGTCCTCTATTACCTAGAATTCTGGATGATGGGAAAAGTCCAAAAATCCAGTAATTCTGTGTAGAATTTGCAGTTGAGGCCAAAATATGGTCCCACCCTCCTCGGGCATTCTCGTCTGAAAGTAGGGTCCTATAAATTAGGCAGAGGTTTGAAGTATTGGAGTAAATAGAGTAGAAGCGGCCACTTAGCAAATATCGTACAAGCTTGAGCCAGTATACTTGGTACATCACAATTCAGATACATGTTATTTATGTTCAGTTTTCAGAACAACCATTTTATACAGGTAATGCCTGAGAACAGTGAAAGATGTTTGCATTGAAGTTCTTTAAATCTGAATAACTATTGTGCTGTGTTGTGAAGTAAATTACCTGTACTGCTTGCTACAGGCAGGCACAGTTAACCGGGGTTCTGAGGTGATTGCTGCAGGCATGGTGGTAAATGACTGGTGCTCCTTCTGTGGCATGGACACAACATCAACTGAACTGTCTGTGATAGAGAGTGTCTTCAAGTTGAATGAAGCACAGCCTTCTGCTATAGCAACCACGATGCGGGCATCTCTCATTGAAAGGTGGGATTAAGTTTGTAATTCATCTTGAAATTGTTTAAAGACCATATCCTCTGTCTGACTTGTCATTAATATGTTTCAGTATGTCATGAAGGGACAAATGCCACTGAACGTGCTGGAAATTTTATGAACTGTGAAATAAGATAAAAAGGAAGACTCTCATAAAATTTATGCTAAGGTGTTCAACAAGGACAGCAGCATCTGCAAGAAGAAGAAATTACAGTTGAGATATTTGTGTCTGTGTGTGCATGTTTATATAAAAGAACAGTAAGTCGTTAAACAGTTGTTCTGATGAACCACAGCTTTTCCAGTTATGCAGTTCCGCAGCCATCAACCAGCCAAGTTAACTCCATGGAGCAGAGTGTCTGAGAAAGTAATAATCACTCAACTAAGCACGAAGTTGCCCACCTTTCATGGGACTTGAAGGTTCAGTGCCACATACACAACTGTCACTGATCCATATCTTGATTCATTTCAGTCCAGACCAGCCTGCACTCTTCCACCCTATTTCTTTAAGATCCTTTTTGATATCATTTCATCTATTTCTCACCTCTGTTCATGTGCCCTGCCCACCTCATCTTCCTTATTTTCATCACCTAAAAGTAATTGTGGAAGAATAAATAGTGAAGTTACATATTATGCAGTTTTCTTCAGCCTCCTAACACAGTGCAACCCCAGTATTACAAGAGTATAACATTCTTTTTTGGGGGGGTCTAATGGATACTTGTAATATCCAGAAATGGTTGAAATATGTAACTGAAGTCTGTCCCATAAATTTAGATTATATATAATACAGTATAGGATTAAGGTTTCAGTAATGCGGATGCAGGAATATATCTTCTGAGTGGTTATCACAGGGATATAACAATAATTCTCATTGTTGTCAACATTATGTGAACCAGGGAGTTAAAGGTTTTCTTCAACATACATAACCTCTTCTACTTGCAGCTAACTGGTAATTAGGTGTCTTACTTCATGAACAAAGTCCCTCCTACTACTTGCTGTGTCTTAGAAGTCCCACCTGCATACCATTTAAATTCTCTGCATGTGCACACAGATGAGAATGTGTGAAGTTGGATTGATTTGGAATAACAACCTAATACAGAAAGCAATTGAAATGTCACTAATACATGCAGTACATGCATTACATTACAGGTTCTTCTAAACACCACACTTAGAATAAATGCAACTTATGACATTATGTATTTATGAAATGGTCATGATACAGTAATTATGCATTACTCCTTAGCTTTAAACCCATGTTATGGTAGTGACACACAAACTGTTCATAAACTCTCAGCTGTATAATTTTCTAACCTAATAAAATTAAGATTAAATTAGCACACTCCTAATGAATGTAACTCATTATGACATACATGTAGAAGATCTGTAATTCCTATACATTGGTATCACAGGTCTGATGATGATATGTTCATCACAGTCACAAACTGAGATCATGAAATGATTCGCACCAATCTGTACTCATGGGAAAAAAGAAGAAGAAGAAGAAGAAAGAACATTGTGCATGCTTCACATCATGGAACATTTGATGTGACAACAGTTGTCATGGTGGCATGAAATGTGTGAGTGCAATGTCATGAAAAATCCACCAGAAATCAAATGATATTTGATTCTGTGACAAAATCATGGCAGTAATCTAGATGTCATTATGCTGTTACATATGTTGCATGAAAACAAGTTTACTTTGGTTTCGAATGTACTGTTTTTTCCTCCAGTATCATAAACATTGTCCAGGTTAATCCACCGTGCCTTCCTGTTTCACTTTTTAGTGAACTGCTGATTTCACGTAGGCATTTTTTTTTTTCAAACTTCATATTTCTTTGCTATTATCAGGTCCTTCAAAATGCTGCTGTCACCACTACTGAAACACAGTAGATGTTTGGTGGGGGCCAACACCTTACAGATGCATGCATAATTGCATTCTGTGACATCTTCATATGAGGTTACTGGAAACTAGGGAAGGGCAACATACTGCATGATGCTTAATAAAAAAGCCAAGTGACAAAGATGTGAAGTACACAGTAATTTGGTGACAAGGGACCCACTTAATACTGGCTGCTGGATTCCCATTACAGGTGCAGCTGGCCATTATTCCAGCAGCTGTGTGCAGTGCGCTAGATTTAAATTTTTCATGCCAGAGGTCTTTTTTTCATAAAATGATATCTGAATCATTTAACAGTCTGTGCTGATATGTAAAGTTTTGTCTGCAAAATATTCATAATTATCAGCTCTGAATAGTGTTTAACAGATAGTGAGTGAATAAAGCAGAATTTACCTCACTTGTTTAAACTCACATGATATCCAAGAGTAAAAATTTTGAAAAGAACTTACGGCAACTGCTTTCCTTAAAATGCTTCAGTCTGTACAGTGTGGATAGCAAGAATTATAAATTAATGATCATTGTCTAGGTATTATTTCCATAGAACAAATCTCCACCAAGAAAAGTTTGTCAGATATAACCTCAAAGTCATTAACATCACTGCCATGATTGTAAAAAGGTATAGTTATCCTTCTGCTTATTAATTAAGCATCATGCCATAAAGACATATAGGGGAGTGGAAGTGTAGCTCTACCATTTCTTATGTCAGTACTTGGTGAAGGTGCTTGAGCCACTCTCCTCCCCCCTCCCCCTCAACTTCCAGGTGTGGAAAAAGCCTGTGGTACCCATTGCATTGCATTGTGCTGCGTTGGCCCTAGACCTGTTCTAAATGCTCTATAGTAGAGAAAAATTTCTTCTTCTGCCAGAAATCAAACCAATCATCAGTCCACAATTTGTTGCTGTACTGAGCTACCCTAGCTCTTTGCCATGATTGTAATATACACACACACACAAATATTTGATGAAATATTTGTAGGTATGTTTATGATCCATTTGCACACCCCATATAACTGCAGGTTCATGGGCCATCAACACCCTTGAACAGTAAGCTAAACACATTTTTTATGCCCTTATGTTTACATTCTACACAAATTGCTTATGTAGCATTTCGTTTCTTTGTTATATAGCAGGTTTAGAATTCTGCTTTTTTATATATGAGCTATTCTATAAAGATTACATAGAGTGGGAGACGACAAGCTTGTGTTAAAACTGTCATCAGTGCTTCCAGCAATTGTAAATTAATATGCAGTCTCCTTGGATAAAAATCTGACTGAAATAGACTGGAAAAGTAAATACAATGGCAACATTCATTTTAGGAGTCTACTGCTAAAACATAACAGTTGTGTTAATAGTTGTTTCTATAAAATTTCAATAATTATCACTTTCAAGTCTTCAAGAAAAATCAGTTATGAAGTATCGTTTTAGTAGACTGTGGATCATTGTTCCAGAATAATACCATAAAATGCTGAAATTGGGATGGAATATACCTCATGTTCAGTTTTAATGCATCACACAGGAAAGTGTGGTAAATAATATAAGGGACAGTCAAATGAAAATGGGTCACCACGCATAACTCTCACAGTGCGCAAGTTGGTAACACTGGAATTTGCTTACGGTACGAACATCTGGTGGGGATTTGGGAAAGCACAGTGACATGGCCTTGCACACTAGTCGTTTGTTTATTGTGCTGGAAGTAAGGTTAGCGCTACCTGTGGTCGTCCAACATCAGTAATGGAGGCGGGTAAAGAGGCGCAGCGAAATGTAGTGCGCATTTTGACTGCTGAATAAATAGGAGGGCGAGAAATTCATCATCGCATATCTGTTGTTTACGGCGAACACAGCATATCTTGTTCACGTGTGCTAGTGTGGCATAAGAGATTCCGAGAGGGACGTGTGTCACTGCAAGATGATGTTTGCCCAGGACAGGCTCATTGTGTCATCACTCCTGATGTTATTGCTGCATCCGGGCAAACCGATGGATCACCGTGGAAGAAATTAGTATTTTGATGGTTCCATACATGCCATTGTGACAAAACACCTGCTGTACCACAAAACCTGCACGCACTGCATTCTACATTAACTCGGGCAGGAACAGAAGACTCAGAGAATGGCTGCATCACTGGGTCACTTGCAACGATACCATGAGGAAGAGTATGCTTTTCTGTCCTGTATTGCCACTAGGGACGAAACTTGGTGCCACCATTTTGAACCCGAGAGCAAACGGCAGAGCCAACAGTGGAAAGACGTGAATTCTCCCCCACCGAAGAAATCCAAAGCTGTACACACAAGTTCCGGTAAAGTGATGATGACCTTCGACTGCAAGGGCCCTCTGCGTGTTGAATTTCTTGAGCATGTGGCCACAATCAGTTCACAGTGCTATGAGGACCCTTTGCAGAAACTGAGATGTGCCATAAAGTCATAACGCCCTGGAATGCTATCGAATGGCATTATCCTTCAAGATAATGCCCGCCCCCACACTGCCAACTCTGTGAGGAATATGCTACAGATATTTGGTTGGGAAGTGCTTCAACATCCCCACTACAGCCCAGATCTCTCCCCACATGATTTTCACATTTTTGGAGACCTGAAGAGAGACATTCGTGGACATCGGTTTGCATCATATGTGTGTGGCTGGGTAAAGATGTGGTTGCATAGACAGCCCACAAGTGTTTTCAAGGATGCGATTGACCATCTTATCTTCCAGTGGGATAAATGTACGTGGTGCAATCCAAAAGTTCCCAAAATATATCAATAAAAACTATTACATCTTACCTAGATCTTATTCTGCACCATCACCTTCAAAGTAGTCCCCTTGGGAGCGCATACACCGATCCCAGCGTTTCTGCCACTTTTCAAATGCATCCTGGAAGTCTTTCTTTGTTAGGGTGTTTAGTACTGTCTGTGTTTTCGCTTGAATTTCCTCAACTGTATCAAATTTTCACCCCTTCAACCTGATTTTCATCTAGGGGTAGAGAAATAAGTTGCATGGAGCTAAGTCTGGTGAGTATGGTGGGTGGGGAACAACTGCCATCTTGTTTTTAGCCAAAAATTCCTGCACAGTGTAAGCCGTATGCGGTCGTGCGTTGTCATGGTGGAGTACCCAGTCGTTCGTGCGCCACTTTGGATGTTTTCTCCTCATGTCCTCCCTCAAACGCCTTAGAACATCGCGATAGAACTCTTTATTGACTGTCTGACCAGGAGGGACGAACTCCTTATGAACAATCCCGTCAATATCAAAAGAACAGATCAACATGGACTTAATGTTGCTCTTGACTTGTCGAGCTTTTTTTGGCCGAGGTGAAGAAGGGCTCTTCCATTGTGACGATTGCTGCTTGCTTTCAGGGTTGTAGCCATAAACCCAACTTTCGTCACCAGTGACAACCTTCGAAAGAAAGTTTGGATCCTCTTGAAGCTGTTGCTGAAGTTCCCTGTAGACTTCCAAGCGACTCTGCATCTGTTCATTTTGCAGCAGTCGTGGCACAAACTTCGCCGCAATCCTCATGTTCAGTTCCTCTGACAAAATTCGTTGACATGTACCATAACTTAGTCCCAAGGTGTTACAGAGGTCTTGGATGGTCAGTCTACGATCTTGCAGAATCAGGTCCCTATTTTTCATGACATTTTCTGGTGTTTTGCCCGGTGATGGCTGTCCCAAACGATCGTCATCATCAATCAATGTTCGGCCATTTTTAAAACGCTTATACCAGTTTTAAGTTTGTATCTGGCCTAAACTGTTTTCACCAAAAGCTTGCTTCAACATTTGGTGTGTTTCTGTAGCCGTTTTCCCAAGTTTGAAACAAAACTTTATACAGACACGCTGTTCTCTCAGGTCAGCCATCGCAAAACCGCAAACTCACGGAAACACAACAATGGAAATATGTTCACCAACAATAAACCCAAACACTCAACTCGACGCCGCTTGCCACACTGATTCAAGAAGGATGTGTGAGGAGACTTCTAGCGGTATTTCGATGTACTCATAACAATTCGTGCACAAAATTCAAATTTCGGTAACTTTTGGATTGCCCCACGTATTAAAAGTATTGGAGATTACTTTTGAGGTAAGAAATGTTCTTTAATATGTTTTGGCTTCTGACCCATTTTCATTTGACTGCCTCTCATATATCTGCATATACAAGAACTTAACAGAACTTTTACTGTGTGTGTGATGCTGCTCATAGAAGCAGTTTTGGGTAATGGATCAAATCAGATAGCAATCTGCTGTTTCATAAAACAATTTTCCCTTTCTATTGACTCAGGAATATATGAAGAATGCTATAATAAGAAAAGCAGAATAAATGGACGTACAAAACATCCAAGATGAACAAGCCCAAGCCAGAATGGGGAATCTGAAGCATTGATGATGTGCATGTACAAGTTGTTTATTTTGTCAGATACTACCAGCATGTACAGTTACAGTGAATTTACAAAACATGTCTACAGTTGGTCCACTGAAAACAGCAACAGGTTCTGCATCATGGTGAGCCATCCTCAAGGGAGCTGTTGTGTCTTGTCCTCACCAAATTAAAGCTTGCCGTCCTTCTAGCTAAAGCTTCTGTCCGTCTCGTCAAGACACTATCCACTATTGGACTCTCAAGTATGCTTCTGAAGCCTACCAGCTTTTCTAGCTCACTGTTACCCTCACAGGACAGATGTTTCATTCCCATGGCCTCATAACAACCCTCCCTCACTACAGATGCACCTGTAAACACACTGTCTTCCACAGGTCCCACCTCCTTGCCATTTTTCAAACTGGCACTTATACTGGAATTATCTGGGATTACAACATGTAACATAGAAGAACTATTTAATGCATTTATATCTTGTCCCCCAGCAGATGACTGTGTTTGCAATGACTGCAAAGTTACCAACTCCTGAACACACCAGCTGTCCTCTGGAATCACTGTGCCACCATTTTCTGTATTGTCTTTATTGGCAGTCTGAGTGATGTTTGGTTTCCAGTGTGTATTATTAACATTCACACAGGGACTGTCTTCTGTGTTGGTAGTATCATGCACTGTAGGTAATGGACTGCTATTTTCTCCCAGTGCACTGTGATCCCAAATGAAACTGCTCCCATCTCCTTCACTTTGAGGTCTCATTTGCATAACATCTATGTTGAGACCATTTTGTTGCATGTTATCTTCTTTAGATTTGTTCATCCCCATATATACATTTGAAGAGCTTTGGTCTGACAATGCTGTGGGATTGTGAAGAACATCAGTGTCATCATCAGAACAGATAGGGGCAGGACCATGTGCTTGCCAGTTCTGCAAAAACCACCTCTGAGCTTCATCACTAGAACTGGCTGTGTCATGGTCCCTCCGTATGATCATTTTGTGCAGGTTTTGAGTAAGTATTGGTTCTGATCCCACATGAGCCAAGTTCCGTACAGCTCTTTGCTGCTTCATAATGTTGGCTTCTGTGAGCCATAACGTGTTCTGTGCCTTCTTAATCTCCTCATATTCATCCAAACCTTTGTCCAGAGAGTAACTAAGACTTGTCACCACTCCATTACTGCTAGCGACAGCAACTGTGAAGTCATTCACAGACTGCATGTCCAGATTAGAAGTTTTCATCTGGACTCCCAGTTCTGAGTTGCCCATTGACTTGCAGACTCTGTGACCCTTTTCAAAGTGCTGAGTGATGCCTCCTGGTGGCTGTCTCCGGAACCCTCCCACCTGAAGACTTCCAACTGGACTTGCATTTTGCGAGGAGCTACGCAAGTCGAGTGAGGAGCCAGACAATGTGCAATGGTGAGTCTCCAGCCTGAAAAGCATACTTAATTGTAAGTTTGTCAAGATATTTATGAATTTAAACTGTAATGTAGAATCACATCTGTCTTACATGTTAGGGCCAGGCCAAAAGTGGAGGAGGGCTGTGAGGTTTGGCAGTGTGGCACGGAGGTCTTGGGTGGGCAGGTTGAAGTACCAGCGCAGCTGAGCAATATTCTTGTTGAGTAGGTACACACCATAGTTGAACTGCAGTTTGTCCTTGCCCCGGGAGAACAGTGGAAACCTGCAAAGGTCCACAAGAATTGTCAGAGAAAGCATATGGGAACTACTGCAAGGATAAGACTGACTTCATGAGACTCACTCCCGATCTTTGTCAGGGATCTTCTCCACTACATGGTCCACAATCTTGCTGCGAGATCCAAAGTGAATAACTGGGTAGCGAAGGGGAACCTGAAGAAAGATGGAGATCATCTGCACCAGATGTGCTACAAACCCCAGTGCCACTGAAATCATCACCTCATCACTACCTGCGAAGTCCTCGGAGTTTGGCAGGTGCACTCCACAGATGGTATACTTATTGTCTGGCATCTAGTAACAGAAAGAGTATTTGGGATAAAAGTGTTGGTGATATATACGAGTAATATCTTATCAATCTGTCACAATACAACGCTTACCTGTACAATTGGGTAGATGAGGTTGAGCTCAGATATCAGTTGTTTCTGCCGGGAACTGAGCTGAGCACCTGTGAGCAGGAATGCCTCTCTCATGTCCACAAAATTTCTCTTCCATTCTTTCACATGCTCCATGTCTTTATGCAAGTTCTGGTAACGGTCCATCAGCTGCATACCTGGCAGCATTAAATATGGAATAGGTAACTGGTGCTGCATGTGCTTTGTGTACTTGAGAGCATGTTCTGTAATTACCATCCCAATGATACCACTATGATACCTGAGCACAGAAAAGCTGTGCAACTGAAAGGTATCTGACTTTTGTTGTTTAAGTTTGTTTGCAGTACCTCTGTCCTGATTGGTCTCATAAAGGGTAGACTTCATCTTCTCTAACTGCCGCACTTCTGCTTGCTTCCTTGACTTCTCGTAACTCAGCATCGAAACCCGAAAACGCACCAGCTCCATGTCTTTTCTGACACGCAGCAATTCCTGTCGTTCTGGTGCTTTGGGGTGGCTTTTGTTGAGCAGACAGCGCAGCACAGCATTTTCTCGTGACTCACTGGTTGTGAAGCCTCCCACAGAGATCTTTTCTCGCAGATTCTGTGCTGCTAACACCTGTTTTTTGATGACCTGCTGAATTGTGTGCAGCCTAAAATAGATGATAGGGTGTACCTTAGTCCCATTAGCTAATTATATAAATCAAGGATTCAAGAACTCCTCTTAATCTTGACTGAGAAAAGAAGAAACCCACCAGCACAGCAAATTCATCAAATCCACATTACAGGAACTTGGATACAAAGTATTTATTCAGTTACTCAGTAAATTTCCTGTTGTTTTCAAACAAGTATGTCATGATGGTCACAAAACCACACTTTGGACATCCAGTTCTGTACAGTTTATAACCTGTTTCTATATGATCCACATCACAATTATTCTATCTACGCCTTGGCATCCCAAGTGGTCTCTTCTGTGTGAACTTCTTGACCCCCCAATGCATGTGACATATCCTGCCATCTCACATTCATAGTTTTACTCAACCTAACAACAGGTCAGTAGTACAAGACATGTCACATAAAATGTTCGTGGAAACTGAAATCAGGATCTAAATTAGTAAAAAAAAAAAAAGCTCCTGTTACTAAGTAAAACCCTGATATATTGTCCACTCACAAGATATGTAATGGTTTGGTTACCCATACAAACAGTAATTTAAAACAAACAGCCATGAAAGCAAGTGGTTTAACCAGACTTAATCCTTATGAGACAGCTGTTGCAAAATTGAGACTTCTCATTGGACATGACTGATTGCCAAACATCTACTCAAAATAGAAATTTTTTGGTTCCCATATCATATGATTTGCAAGCCCAGATGAAGAAATGGATACAAACAATCTCCTGTAATATATTTATATTTTATGTAAATGGAGGAAACACTGGAATGTTCCAACTGCTGGAGGGACTACTCTTGCATGAGTGTAAAGGCAATACTTTAGCCTTATGACTCCACATTGCTTTTTTGTAAACTATATATATTCAGACACTCAATTTGTAATAATTATGATTAAATACATTAACATCATGAATCTTCTAGGGTTAGGTTTTTACTATCTGTTCCTGTGCATCACAAGATGGTCTTTGTCTCTCTATCATTTTGATCGTCCTAACTGTTGTCTCCTTAGCTGCTAATAGGATAACAGTTTGTGAAAGATGATGTCCCGTTCTTTTGAATTCCCTCCTAATTTTGTTATGCTTGCACAAGGGGTATGATGCACCTTTTAAAGCCTCTCCTACCAAAAGGTCAGCCTCAGCTTCTCATGATATACCCCACTGTCAGTGTGATGCTTTGGTGACTTGAGTCATTGCCTTATAACTGTCTGGTCAAGGACATGCGAAAGAAACTGGCACATGTGGAATAGAACTGAGCAGCACAAACTTGAGAAATGGCAACACAACTCCCATGAAACTGAACAAGCCAGTCTTCTTACAGTTCCATTGCGGAGTAGTATTCTAGTTTCAACAGTTTAACGTGCTTCTATGATTCATTTGCTTCTTTATATGGCTTGAAAGGTTGACAAAGCTGCTAATTTTGTTTCTGTGCAGTTAACTGAGCAGAAGCCAGGTAAAGAAAGTAAGTAAAGCTATCCCTGTAACAGGCCATGAAAGCCCATAGGGTTGTGAGACGTTGAGGGTCCCACATTATCTACACAATCAGCTCAAAGATAAGGTAAGATAAAGGTAAGGTTGTCAGCCTTATGCGCCGGCCATGCTTTACTTCCCAGGGAAATTATTTAATTAATTCCTGGTACTCATTTCTGTTAGAGGCTGAGTCGACCCCAGGGCCATAGTGTGGCTGGAAAGATTAGGTCAACTGAAAAAAGTCCACTGACTTCATCGGCACTCGAACCTATGACCTTCCGGCTTGTAGCATTGTGCCTCAATCAACTACGCTGCCACATGTATAATGCCACTCAGAGTATGCTAAGTGGGACAAAACAGATTTGGCCTGGGGAAGAATTTCTCATGAGAAGAAGTAGTCTGAGATGTATATAAAAAAAGTAAAGCTATTCCTGTAACAGGCTGTGAAGGCCCATACGGTTGTGAGACACTGAGGGTCCCACATCATCTAGACAGTCGGCTCAAAGATGGCGGTAAGGTTGTCAGCCTAATGTGCCGACCGCGCTTTACTTCCCAGGGAAATTATTTAATTAATTTCTGGTACTCATTTCTGTTAGAGGCTGAGTCGACCCCAGGGTCATAGTGCGGCTGGAAGGATTAGGTCAATTGAAAAAAATCCAATGACCTCACCGGGACTTGAACCTGCGACCTATGCTTTATAATTAAAAATTAAAATAGGATCCAACTACAGAATAGGACTGCTAAAACAGTGCAAACAGAATAATACAATGTGACCCACATTGTGTGATATAAGTCAGCAATTAGGTTAGCCCTCATCCTTTACAACTGTCAGTTGAATTCAATTAATATAACTCCACTGAGATGAAATTTCTCCTGTCATTAAGAAATAGTCAGCCAGCTGATTTAGTAAACCCTGTGCCCTTGATAGTCTTTGCCTTCTCTCATCATCTTCATTTAAAATATGATGGCTGGGATTGATCTACTGCATAGTTCTCAGATCCTTCACAAAACAGCCCTTCCTGAGTTCTAATGAAAGTGTGGAGGACGACAATTGCTTTAATGACTGAATTCACGGTTTCTTCTTTGCAGCATTTTGGCCCCTCAACTATCTTGATCTTGGCATTTAGTATACCAAATGTATGTTCTACAATTTTTCAGACACGAGAGTCTGTAATTAAACATGCATCTTTTGTTAATTAGCATTCTTCTAGGTTAAGGTCGCATTACCTTTATTTTGAATGGACATATTTCATCTGCTACAAAGTTGTAGGGAAGTATCTCACTGCTGTCATCCAGTGGCAGAGTAGGCTTTCTTCTGCTGATACAGCTGTACAAAAATTTTTATCTTTTTTTTTTTAAACTTGAGGTCCTACAAGATCCAGTAATAAAGAAAAGCTTTCAGTGCTCGTTAGATAAAATTATTTAAACAATTCTGGATCCTGGTTAATTTCTTTTGAAACAATATAAGCACCTGAGTTTATATTGTCATGGAAGAATGGATCCACTCACATTTTCTTTTCCCATTTCAACTCTTCTCACACTGTCTTGGCCACTGACATAATGACACGATCAAAATTATTATCAAAAAGTTATCAAAATTAAAAATTACAATCACATATTAAGCTGGTTGAATACACCCACTTGAAATGATGTGAGACAAGTAATCAAACAAGTCTCAGTGTGCATATGCTAATCTGGAAACTAGTTCCCTGTTCTAAATTGGTGACGTTTCTTTGAAGTTGCAGGTACCAGTTTCTTTGATGTGTCCTCGCCCTTACAGTTATGTGTGGAAGGAATGCTGTACTTACATCCTGTCTGAAGACTGAAAAGTAGCAACCCCTCAGTCAACTAGACCTGTAAAATGCCAGGAAGCTATCCAGAGGACTAACTAATTCTCACAGGAATCTCAAGAAATGCCAGACACATAAAATACAAATTAAATTAAACACCATAAAATAAATAATACATTACACTGCTTAATTGGGGTATACAAAACACATGAAGTGTACAGCATCTTCCTATGTTTAATCAGCCAACAAATTATTTGTTCACATACCTATATCTTTGCTGTAACATGTAGATCTGCCATTATGCCACTGAGTCTTTTGAACTTCTGCCAAAGTATATTTTATCCATGAACATATGAATGTTTGTTTTAATTATTTCATGAATATTTAGAGAAGAAATGCAGCTTTCTTAATTTTTAACTGATAGGTGGTGCATTATTATCTTTCACTATTTATATTGTGATACCTTCATCTGTTTTTATTTTCACAGAAAACATATAATTAACATTTATTATATATCTGGGGTACAGTACCTGAGTAGCAGATTCACATTGTAGCTGGGCTGTGCATCTGCAGCACTCACTGTCACAGTGGTGTTCCTTATCTTCAGAGGGGTCTCCTTGAAGCTCTCAAACGCTGTGAAATACCCACCATGCATGTGGAACACAATGGTGTTAAGCTTCAAGACTGCAGGATCCAGTGACAGCTTAGGGCCAAGATACAGCAGACCACTGAAGTACACACCCCACACTGTTATCACATGATCTGGCTCTCCTTCACGATGCAACCACATGCGGATGACAATCCCTGCAAGTTACACATTCTCTGATGCTTAGATTTAAATACATTTCCGGTGTCTACACTTAATTCGCATTATACATAAATACGATGTGATGGAAATTATAATATAAAATGCAGAAGGAATAGGTATAAGGGAATTCATGGAAATGCATCTGTCATGCTATATCATGGAATGTATATGTGTCTGTCTGTAGAAAACTAATAATGGTAATGGGTAGATGTGAAAATGTTACGCTCTGTAACTTGGACATTAATAATGACTAGGTAAAAAAAACAAATGTTTGTTCTAATAAGAAAAACTCAGAACTGTTAACTTTGCTGTTACATTATAACTACTAAGTAACCTAAATGAATGCTTAGTGATTACTTAATACAAGCTTTTCTAGTCCAATATAAGGAGACCAACAGAGGCATGTATCTTAGAATATGCAGCCTTAACATATTTCCATATTAATCATAATGAAACATGTTCTGAAGATCATAAAAACATGCGTGAGTCTCAGAATCCAGACACATGAACTGTAAGTAACCATCATGAACATCAAAAATTGTTCCTCAAACTGTAGTGAAAGTTTTCCTGCACAAACATGCTAGTATAAAATATTCATATCTTTGAATAAGTAGGGGCACTATGCTACAAGGCAGAAGGTCACGAGTTCCAAGTCCCAATGAAGTCACTGGATTTTTTTTTCAATTGACCTAATCCTTCCAGCTGCACTATGGCCCTGGGGTTGACTCAGCCTCTTAACAGAAATGAGAACCAGGAATATTCTTAGAATATTCCTAGATGTAAAGGGCAGCCAGCGCATAAGGCTGACAACCTTGCCGTCATCTATGAGCCAATCGTCTAGAAAATGTGGGAGCCTCAACATCTCACAACCCTATGGGCCTCCACAGCCTATTACAGGGATACCTTTCATTTTACTTGAATAAGTGGCATAATCCTGGGACATACTAACATACAGCAGGGTAACTTCATATGAAATTCATGGTGGACAAACTGGCATTGTAACAGGTTTTTCTCTGCTATCATCAGTCCATTGTTCATCCATAATCACTTCCTAAATTGTGTGACAGCCCTGACCAGGCAATACACTATCACATCCATCATTATAACATCTCTAACATTTGGCTGGAGACAACATAAAGTAGTAGTACACTGATGAGTTTATGGTTATGGAACTGTTACATAAGATGATTGTTATGAAGAGAGCTCTTTAAAAATATTAATTCTCTAGTAAGTCATAAATTAACTGTCATTTGGAAACAATACACTTTACATGTCTATTAATATAAAATATGGGGGTGGGGACATAGTTTTGCCCTGATTATGGCATTATAATTGAGTGACAAAAACAAACAACTTCAAGCTGGTGAATTTTGGGAACATTTAAAAATTGTGTGATGTTGCCCTTCATTTAGTAATATAATACAAATCTACATACACAGTAAAAGGAATTATTATTATTAATAACTTTGAACTGTCTGACCACACCAACTTACATACCATTAACTGCTGTGTTTACGTGACATGTCAGATCTCTGATTTCAATCTCTGCCCATTTTGGATTACTGCTCTCCAGTTTTTCACTGGTATAGAATGGAGCTGACATGGTGGTCAAGTGAAGGGTATAGTAGAAAGAAGCCTTCATCACTTCCGCTTTCAACTTTCTGTTCATTGATCCTTGTACGCTAATTGATCCATTGGTGCCTCTACCTGGGTTGTGTTTCTCATTCACACAAACATTGTATGCAATGATTTGTATAAGGTTGCGAAGGCGAAGCTAAAATAACAGATATAAGAGAGTTAGAATTAACATCTAAAATTAAGAAAGTATAAAAATATAGACTACGTTTATTTACCTGCTGAGATACAAGAGGAATCCATTCCTTCCACCTAACAGCACCATGCTGCTGCACTATGTACTGAGACTGATACAACATTGCCTACCCCTTATATACGAGCTCCTACATCCAATTTGTTAATACCTCATATCTTCGTTGTTATAAAAATGTAATTTAATGTCTCACGGTATTTAGACATCCTTAGCACCACACCATTAGTCACAAACTAGCACATTTCCAACATTAACCTTGACACTGTAACAAAATACGAAAATGTCAAATACTTTACACTAATGTCAGTCGTAAAGCATCCAGATATGTATACGATAACATAATTTCGAGCTAAAAGACGTGTGCATACCGTCTGTCTCGAACATTCAAGTCTTGTGACACTATTACTGCAATGGGTAAGAAGATTAGAACCACTTAGCATGACAACTAATTCACGTAATATGCTAAATAGGATCATACGCAATTGTCGAATAATGAGAGCAAGGGTATCAAATTATAACCTTATCTTCATCTGCAACATTGTGAACAGATGCACATTTCAACAGACGTGATTTTGACAGCAATTTCTAGCAGAAGAAAACGGCAGAAAATTTGACGAACGAAATATCTTCGGGCGTGTATTTACAAGTCCAATTAAGATACATAGTTTGCTGAAATATATGCAGGATGAGTTTATTATAGTGTAACGTATATATCAATTTTATTTCTAAAATTTCTTTTTAGCAATTGTTATAATAGAATGCATTTATTTATATTTCACTATCCAAAGCTAACCACCCTTCCTAACACTGCTTGTTACAAGTGGTACCAAGGGTCCCAGTCGCAGAGGTCCCAGAGGTACTAGGCACGGATCATGGAACGTGTACTTGATCATATTACGAAGATCACGGCGCCTAACATATGATAAACTGAATTTTTGTAGTGGCTCTCTTCTCGAGTTTTTTCGTAGTTGGTACAGTTCTTTGTGGCTCTTGTGCGCTCTTGTACGTCTTGTACTTGGTGTAATAATTGTTGGGGCGGTCGGGACTTCTGTGGTCGATACTGATGGTACTGGTCGTCCTGGTCGTCCTGGTGGTTATCGTCGGCCGTCGGTGCCTGTCCGGATAGTTAATTGGTCAAGTGGCCAAGTTTAAGTGTAGGTTGGAATGTTTGTTGTAGTTTTGTAACGCACTGAATTAGGAGAAGATAGTAGCAGTAGTAACAGCGTGTACAGCAAGACTATGAATTCTGAAGACGGTAATAATGAAATCTTTATTTGTGTGGATATTAATTGATTCTTGCTGTGTTGTTGACATTTTGGATTTTTTTTGCATGTTCCTGCCAAGGTAATTAAAAAATGCTTCTTCTGTGAGTGAAATTAGAACGAAGGAAGACCAATTAAAATATATCGTGCTTATGTACTATTAAGAATACGCAGAAACGCATCTTGAGCAAGGTAACGCATTCTGTTTTATGATCGGTCTTAATTGTACTCCATTTTCAGCTTGGTTAGGGTGCGAAAGAATTGATTCCTGGTTTGGCCCACCATTTGGAAAATTGTGTCCTAAGCCAAAGTAGAAACTAGTCTGATGGTACTGAATATTGGACTAAATAAATTGTACGTGGTAAGGTGTCATGTTAAGATACGCATGCAGACCTGAGAGGGTTAATAGGTTGAAACACATACAATCAGAATTACTGGGTTGTCATACTTTGTCCATCGTCCAGCATTCTGAAAAATAGAAAACACAACGTTTCGGAAATTGGATTTGTTTCTGTCCTCAGGTGAAGAGGGAAACACCTACCTTCTTTGTCCCTTAGAAAGAATTGACCTTGGTCATTCCAGTGACAGGTTAGCTCTTCCTAAGGGACCCAACAGAGTTGATGTCTTCCTTTTCACTTGAGGATGGAAACAGATCCATTTTCCGAAGTGTGTTCTCTAGTTTTGAGAATACTGAACAATAGACAAAGTCCAAAAACCCAGTAATTCTGAGTGTTTTACACCATTGTCAGAAATGTTTAGAATCTGCATACTCACAATTCCATTTTTAAATATCATTATTGTAGTATGTCAGTTATGTTAGGCGAGTTAGAATGATTTGGGTTCATTAGGTTTGTATTAGTTCCAATAACTGGAAATACTGCTTAAACTCATGTTTATGGCATTGCATATTTTTTTTTGCAATATTTAAATTACTGAAGTATATAAGAAACAAATCTTTGTAGAAACATATGATAACTAAAGCAGTTACATTTTTGCCCTTTTCACCTTTCTGATTTTTAATTCATTGGCTAGGGTTTCTCATTTTTCTTTTTTTAATTGTTTCCCTTCCACTACAAGCCATTTGCTTATTGTGTTCTGTAGCCTCTATATTATCTGTTAACAGGTAAGAAATTGTAGGTTTTGAGGTTATCACAATAGTGTTAATGAAGATTTCTGTGTCCTGGACTATAATGCTTTGATTATGGTTGAAGAATAGGCTAAGCAAGCAGCCAGCCTGAAGCTTTGCTTGCTGACTGCTTTGTGCTGGTTTCTGACTTTGCTTATTCTTCAATCCTGAAGACAGAGGTGACATGTTCCTCTTAAATGTCAGTTGACTTTCAGTGTGGAATCCAGAGTGTTACATCCAAGAAGATAGAACTGTGCAGGTAATAAATTGTTAATGTTATATTTGAGCATCTTGTTGCAATACTGGGGCTGTACATTCCTTTGAAACATCAGACTCTGCAGCACTGTAGCCACTGCAGGCAACCAAGTTCAGCCCTGGCTGTAGCGAGACCAGCTCTCAGCCACAATACAGTTGATTCATACATAATCATAATCCTTTGTATACCTCTGTATAACCAGTGCATAAGCTTTGATTTAAGATCACAGGTCTTGCCATGGGTCCTACAGCATAAATGGCAGGAACTGCAGTGGAGCCATTCTATAGGCAACCTGCAAGAAGCTACATAAATACTGTCATCCTCCATAGAGCCCCCCCCAATACCAGGCATGGGGAGGGGGCAGATACAGTGGGAGATCACCATGTATCCGAAGGGCAGCATTTATGACACTGCTTCTTCTGTGCCACACAAGCCTTGGCATGGTAGCTTGCAACTTACCTCAAAGCAGGAATTCTGAAAATTTTATACCACAAAGCACTTACTGTGCAGATTTTCTTTGGTGGACCACCTGAATATTGAAAAAAGGATTTTAAGCATTGTGAATGGAATAAGAATGAAATTTAGTCAATATTCTAATGACTTTTAAAATGAAAATAATATAAAGGTATTGCTGTGCAAATGCCATGTTTATTTGTGTATAAATACAAAATTACATAAACTCACAGATATTCAATGTGATAGGCTGACCTCAGTTTGATTTTGAAGGTGAACACAGACCATATGAATTTTTTCATGGATATCTGATGTCCATGGACCATGAGTTTGGAAAATTACCTTAAGGCACTACCACTATAAGTCAGCCAGGGCAACCTGCTACTTCTGGCAACTGCCAGTAGGAGGCAGACAAGGTGACATGGTTTCTGCCAATCATTTATAACTGCCCTTGATACCTGTGGATTACCCTAGGTCAGAGATTTTTAACCTTTTTCAACTCATGGCACACTGAACAAGGCACAAAATTGTCAAGGCATGCCATCAGATTTTCAAGGAGAGATTTGATTGCTAAACATGACTATTAAAATTGTATTTAAAAGTTTAGTAGCTAAAATTCTAATAATTGTGTTTATTTAAAAAATAAAGCTGATCATGGGTTTCAAAAGATTTATTTTTAAAATATATGTTCATGTTTGTTATTATTCCAAATTTTGAAATAAGGTGTAATTGAAAAGATATCATGTATAAAAAATTCTGTGATATATTACATGTATCTCAATAAATTGTTCCCTCCCCTTCTCTCTCTCTCTCTCTCTCTGTCACAAACCCGCTCTTTTTCACAATGAAATAATGACAGATCAGGTTTTGAATAAAATAGTCTGCTCTGTGATGAAAAATTGTAATGCTACAGTAATGTTTTCTGTTTGCAATAAATATAAAGAAAGTAAGATTTTTTAAATATAAACACGAGTGGAAATAAAAAGTATTTTTGTAAACATAAACATATCAGTGGGAGACTGTGCTTGATGTTGTCTTATGATGTTCCTCGTCTGATGTCAGATGGTTGACAAGCATGTCCTCAAGTCCTCCTCCATTGTTTGAAGCCGCGACCTGTTCTTGCTGTTGATCATGTTCATAGCAGAGAATCCAGCACTGCAGATACGATGCAGAGAAAGGAAGGAGTGCTTCAGTTGCCTTCTGTCTGATGATCGGGTACTCTTGTCAGAGAGACAACCAGAATGAAGTCATATTTGTTGATGAGTGCTTCAATTTCAGTGTTTTGTCATATCTTATATCCATCAGTGTATCTTCTTCAGCAACAGTTAATTCTGCCGACTTGAATGCACTTAACACAAATGTATCTCTCACCCAGTCCAAGGAAGATACATCAATCTTATTATTCAAGTACACCATCAATAATGCAACAGTGATATAAATGACATTAAAATATATATATTTTTCACTAAAAGTGTAACTTTAATACTCTAAAATGTTATTAAATATCATAAAATGTCATTAAGACATTGTAAGAATATCTTTTGAAGTAGTAGTTACTTTTAGTGGACTGAAGAGAGATGAAGTGACAGGAGGTTGGAGAAAACTGCATAATGAGGAGCTTCATAACTTGTACTCTTTTCCAAGTGTAATTAGAATGATCAAGTCAAGGAGGATGAGGTGGGCAGGTCATGTAGCACGAATGGTGGAGACGAGGAATGCATATAGGATATTGGTGGGAACGCCAGAAGGAAAGAGACCACAGGGAAGACCAAGGCATAGGTGTGTGGACAATATTAGAATGGATCTTAGAGAGACAGGATGGGATGGTATGGATTGAATAGATCTGGCTCAGGATAGGGACCAGTGGAGGGCTCTTGTGAACACGGTAATGAACCTTCGGTTTCCATAAAATGCTGGGAAATTCTTGAGTAGTTGCCGAATTGGCGGCTCCTCCAGAAGGGCTCAACTCCATGAGTAAGTAAGTAAGTAAGTAAGTAAGTTACTTTTAGTGTATAAAATATATTTGTGGTGTCTTAATGACATTTTATGATATGTAATAACATTTTAAATTATTATAATTACACTTTCAGTGAAAAATATATATTTTAGGTGTCTTGTATATCATTGTTGCATTATTGACAGTGTACTTGATTAATAAGAATGGTACTTCAATGCGACAGGATGCTGAAATACGAGGGTAAGTCAATAAGTAAGTTACAAATGGATATAGAACTTAAACAAATAAGAGTACCGATTTGAAAAATGCCTTTATTTCTCAGCATTTACTGTTGAAAACGATGGAGAAACTAGTGGATAGGCATATCAGGGATGGGGCATTGAGGACATATCCTCTACACCGAAACCAACATGCCAACCAAACAGGTAAATCTACCAAAACCGCACTACACAATGTGGTAACACACATAGAAAGTGTGATTGAACGCAAGGATATTGCCTTGGGAGCATTCCTTGACATAGAGGGAGCTTTCGATAGAACCTCATTTGATATAATCAAACAGGCCACTCGAAAGCATGGCATAGAGCCTGCAATATGCAGGTGGATCGGTGCTATGTTGGAAAGCAGGACCATAGCTGCTACATTATCAGGAAAAACCCTGGGGGCGTCCGCGTCTAGGGGGTGTCTGCAGGGGGGCGTGCTCTCGCCTCTACTGTGGGGCCTGGTCGTCGACGTTCTCCTGTGGGGACTTGATGATGGGTATTATACAGTAGGATATGCTCATGACATAGCAATCCTCATAAACAGAAAATTCCTTTCAGCAGTATCAGAGCATCTTCAAACAGCTCTGTTCATGGTCCAACGATGGTATGAAATGACAAGTGTTTCCATCAATCCCAATAAGACAGTAATTATACCGTTTACTAGGAAGAGAAATATAAAGGGCCTTAAGGAACCGACCCTCTTCAATAAGATGATCCAGCTCTCCAGTGATGTCAAGTTCCTTGGTCTAGTATTAGACAAGGGACTGACATGGAAAAAGCAGCTGGACAAGGTCATTAACAAAGCTTATAAGGCTTTTTGGACATGCAGAAGCATGTTTGGTAAAACTTGGGGACTGCAGCCGCATGTTGTGTATTGGATATACCCTACAGTTGTAAGACCCATACTTACATAGGGCGCCACAGTATGGTGGTCCAGAGTTAAACTCAAGACAAGCAAGGCAGAACTTAGCAAATTGCAAAGGTTGGCTTGCTTAGGTATCACAGGAGCAGTTCGAACATCTCCAACAGCTGCACTGGAGATACTTCTTGGACTCTCCCCACTGCGTCTACAGTTGAAGGCAGAGGCCAGGGCAGGGATCTACCGTCTCCAGTACAGTGAACAATGGAAACCTAGAT